GCCAATCTTGGAAATCACCGACGATAACTTTGAAGAAATATGGTCTTCTCTGTAGAGCCTCAGATCCATGCAAAACACTTCCAGCTTTTCCTCTTCGTAACTCGATGCTGGTGTTAGAGCTGGGGTTGAGCCACATCTCCTCAATCGCAAACGTCTCGTCCGATTCGGCTTGTCAAGCCTTTGTACGAATCGACGTTCAACCCCAAGTGCGTATTGACGAGAATGCCTACATAATCTACGCCCCCTCCGTCGCATGCTCCAAGAAACAGTTCTCTTCCAGTCTCGAAAGAGCGCGCAGAGGGCGATGTATGTCTCGACCAGTCCGATGACGTCGTGTTTGATCTTCCTGGCTTGCATCATCAGAACTTCTATGCACACTTTCGCCACAAATGTTTGTTGAAAGTACAGATCGCCCCTTTGGTCCTTCTCTTGAACGACCTGTATTTCCCAGAGATTAGCAGCCTCTCTGGAGCGATCCTACCCAACGCTGCCGTATGGGGGGCTCTAACAGGTTCAGGGAAATGAGGCCCATTTATATTACTGTTTTTGACATAGGGGTACCCACGAGTAACTCTCCAGGCTCTGAAGTGGGGACTGGGTTGTTTCAGGTTAGTTAGCTAGGATATTTCGGATAACAAGACCATGAACACTGGAAAAACGACAAGTGATAAAAGATGAAGCACGACGATACCCATTATGAGAATTGCTCTTTTTTGCTTGTAAAAATGTATTTGATATTTTGTAGATAAACGCACATAAACTGCACAAAATTCCATTGATAGAATTTTTTGTTTCAAAGAAGCAACTCTAGAAAATGCAATTTGTTTGTGAAATCGAATTTTGTGACAGAATCCTAGCCATCTTCTACAATTGCGAAGTTTTCACTATTGTACGTTATATATTTTCTAAAAGGTAGAACAGTAAGCGAGCGCTCCCAGTGGAGCGGCTGATATCGTGTTACACGAGACGTCAGATTAATAGAGTTTATCTTTAAAGCATCAATACAGAGCGAAGTGGTAAGATGACCCGCTGTTATCTCGTAACTACATCATGACACAATAAACGCATAAACGAGAATGGGCAAGAAGCTGTTACACAAGACTACTACGCGATAACACGTTATAAGTCAGCTCTTCGTATGGAGGGCTTCGCCCTTAGAGAAAGAGCATAATGATGGGTATTGGATGAGAAGGTGTAGGGGAGTCGACGGTGCTCCGTGTCGTTGTCGCCAGACGTCTCCCATGGCCTCGGCTTGCGGACTCCGCCCTGAAAGGTTGAGTCATACAGGGGTTTTGTAGAACTCGTACAGTAAGCCAATGCTGTGAGATGCGCCCACGCTTACAGAACTGTTGCAGCAGATGTAGAATTACGAACTGTTGCTCCGCAAGTTTAGAAACAAAGCCTAGCACTGTGCACAAGGCCCTGAGCTCCAGAACACTGCCCTTTCTACTGCAATAATGTTGCCTTTGATGCAACTGCTCTTCTCCCTCATTTTTTTGAGCCTGTTCCTTCGGAGCTGTCGACTCACACATTTGAACCATGAGCTGACGATGCGTGATCAAGTACGCTTTTCCTTCGATGAAACACTCACCTTCCCACGTCGCCAACTTTGTTGTTTTGATAAAGCGCTTTGCAACAACTATGCTTTGTCGAGCGGTTCACAACCTTATCGTACCTGGAATGGGTTACCCATGTCCCTTTTATTTTATTGGCAGTGCGCGATTGCAGCATTTGGGCTACCCACCTTCCCCGAGGCCTTCTTTTCGAAGCGTCGTAAATGTATGCGACGTGGATGATGGGGCAGGCCCTTCTATATGCGGTTCCAGATCTGCTGTCAACCAGAACTTCTCTCGCAAAGAGATTCGGAGGAGAAGTAGCCTTCGCGCGTAGTGCCTACCAGCGGAAGGAAGGCTAGTCCGTTTGTTGCTCGGACTTTCCTCCGGGGTACTCTTTCGCCAAGTGCAGATATGAAGGGGCACACGAGTCGAAATGGATCAGAAACGAGTCTAATCAAGCTATAAAGATTCCCACATTGAATTAAATAAAGAGGAGGGTAGGAAGGGAAAATGAGGGTTAAATTTGATGTACCTCGACAAGAGAGCAGGTTGTCTGTTCAAGTACCTGAGAGAAGTTTAAACACGGTTTTAGTTGTTATGTTAACAAAGCCACAAAACCATCTTCAACTGATTAAGTGTACAGTGCGCGTCAATTGCTTATGCCACCCCCACATTTTCCTGTTATCTCTATTCCTACCCACTTCTGTCACATGTGACATACTGCACTACAATGGACTGTGTCAGAGACTCACATATACGAGACATACACCTGTTCAGAAAAACAGCTTCATTTTTACAGTTCATTTTAATAAATGTGCCGCGTCAAAATTATATGCCATACTTCAACACATAATGAAAAAAACAGAAAAAAGCACAATTGGTTAAACATTAATGCTTAGTTAGACCACCTACTTTACGAATAGCTTCAGAGATTCTATTTGGCATACAGTCAACGAGATTTTGGATTACATTTCCTGGAATTGAGTTCCATGCACTTAGAATGGCTGCTCTCAGCGAAGAAACACTGTCATACTGGACCCCCCGGCAAAGACCCTGCGCACCAAGATACCCTAGAGATTCTCTATGGGATTTAGGGCCGGGGAGCATGGAGGTCAGTCCAATACATCCACATGGTGATCCCCTAACCACTCCAAAGTTGAACGCGAGACGTGCGCAGGAGCGTTATCCTGTTGGAAAACGAGTCTTTTCCGTCTATGATCGTGGAGGTAAGACAGCAAACTGCGCTGAAGAATATCTTGATACTCTTGCGAATTCATGTGGGTGGAGATGAATTCCATATCCAGCGTTCCATAGGAAGAGAAGGCCCCATTCCACATTAGTCCCTAAGCCGAATACACGTTTTGCAAAATTCCTAGGCTCCTTTCGTAGATCCCTCTAGTAATAAACATGTCCATCAAGACCATCCAGATTGAATTTCTTTTCATCGGAAAAAATCACCTAAACCATGTATGAGCTTAGCAATGCACTTTCCAAAATGAGTCAAAACCCTCACCTTTCTCCAGTTTCTTGAAAAAATTTTTCTTGCAAACTTGAGTCGGGCTTCGCGATGGCTCCTGGTCAGACGGGGAGCTAGCTTCATCCTCTCCCTCCTCAAGAATATTTGACGACGAATAGCTCGCAATACAGTGGAAGTCGACACATTTAGTGAAAGTCGTGCACGAATCTGATTGGCACTCATGGTTGAATTGGAAGCCAATCTAGCGATCAGTTTGTGGTCGGCTCGTGTCAATTTGAGTGGACGCCCTCCTCCATGTGCTTGACCGTATGTCGCAGGATTCTTCACGAAACCGTCGATGCAGCGTCTGGATCGGACGAGTTGATCCGCGATGGCCTTGTTGCTATGGCCTGCCTGACGAAGCGATAGAATTTGGCATGGTTCTGTTGAAGATAGACGGCGACCCTTAATCATGGTGAACTGCTTTGGATTGCGGACAGGACAGCTTTGGACAGAAGGTGGTAGGGCTGCGCGGACCTGAGATATTTCGTAGCAATGACGGCATGGCATAAGCAATTGACGCGGCTAATTTTCACTTTCTCGCCAAAAAAGGGCGCTACCGCAGCGTTCAAATATGTTTAGGCTTTGTTGAGACTCTTGTTCACTCAGTAAGTGTTGGTCAACATTTCAACCCGCAATGTTGCCTAACAACTCAGATAAAAGAAAAAATAGGGGATGGCATATGCAATTGACGCGCACTGTATATCCGGTAGTGCAGGGGGTCCAAGCTTTTTCGCTTCTTTTTGGTCAGTGGTTATTCCTTTGAGTGTGAGGTGCCTACGCACAGATAGTAGGACAAAAACGCCGGCTCACTTTGTTTACAACGACCCTGCGACCTGTATGTGCTGTTGTTGAGCAGTTGTAATCTGCTACCATCAACAGAAATAAATACATCTCCCGAATGGCATATATTTGGCTTCGCAATACGCTACACCACTTTTATCTCATCTACCATTCCATTCTACTTCTGGAAGCACCGAATTCGAATAATGGTTGCTCCGCCTCACCATGTTAAAATAAAATAAAACTTCACAATATATTATTCATTTAAGTACTATAATTTCTCTAGTTGTTTCAATTTTGTTACTTCCACTTTATCAAATTTATTTAAAGTAACAGGTTTTAGATATTCAACGAACTTAGGACTGAAAAAAGAATGTAAACTAACACAAGTAAACTACCCAACACCCGGTGATTCAATTACATGTACAAACAACTGGGCTTGATTATATATGGAATCCACAGTGGATCACAACGAAGAAATGATCAAATTTTCTGAAATTTTTCAAATCTGAATTTTTTTTTGCTATGTGAGATGCATATAAAAACCAACAAAAATGGAAAAGACTGAGTTAGAGTAACAAACTGTACAATAAATATGAGATTAATATACTAAGCAATAAGGGAAGATCTTCAACTGTAGTTGTCTGGATCGTAGTTGGGTGAATAGGGAGAGGATGGCGTGTACTGTAAACAACACTTTTGGTTTGGGAAAATAAAAAGGCAAAAATATTACAGTGGTCTAATAGCACTTACATTGGGGGAACTGGGACTGTACTGCGGAGAACTCGGACTGTATTGTGGCGATGACGGTGAGTACTGAAATGATAAAAATCCAAGAAAAAAAGCAACTCAGTCAAATCACACGGGTTGGGAGTGATATTCAACTAACCACTGGCGAAGCAGGATTTCCTGAAGGAGTGTACTGCGGTGAGCTGGGAGAATACTGAAACGAGCATCATCATTCACATATAAAAGTGTGAGGGTATTTTTTGAAAAAGTAGGCAATTACCTGAGGACTGCTTGGTGTATAGATAGGTGAAGTGGGACTGTATTGTGGTGACGAAGGTGAATAAGATGGAGAAGCATCCGGCCGCGGTGAACTGGGAGAATACTGTGGTGAGGACGGAGAATACTAAACTATACTATTAGAGCACCAAGTATTGCGGTATTCTGAAATAATCACTGAACAGCACCTGTGGACTGCTTGGACTGTACTGAGGTGACGTTGGACTGTACGTAGGACTTGTTGGTGAGTATGTAGGCGACGTTGGAGAGTAGCTAAAAAGGTGGTATGAGTCTAGCCAAATCGATCAAAATTTAATGCTTTTCTAAGATAATTAGTTCGTTCGTTTGACAGAAAAATTATCGCATAATAACACACCGAGGACTCGATGGGCTGTAACCGCTACCGCCATAGCTGGGACTCGTTGGACTGTAGGTCGGTGACGTCGGCGAGTATGTAGGTGATGTAGGCGAATAACTGTAATGAGAGCAATAAGCAAATAAACGAATAAGATAGGGTCGTTTAACTTACGTTGGGCTTGTAGGACTATAAGTTGGAGACGTTGGTGAATAACGTGGACTGCTCGGAGAATATCCGGGACTTGTGGGAGAGTAAGAAGGAGAAGTCGGAGAATAGCCTGACATGAGAGCAGTATTACACTTGCAACGATAGAACCGCACAACTAATCAAAAAAGATACTCACTGGGGCTAGTTGGGCTGTAGCTAGGTGAAGTGGGTGAATAAGAAGGAGAGGTTGGTGAATATGACGGGGATGTAGGAGAATAACCTGTAAAATGTTTTTTTGGGAAATGGTAACGAAGTACAGACTGGCTCAAGAAAGGAAACACGCACTTGGGCTCGTGGGACTGTAACTCGGCGACGTCGGCGAATATGAGGGGGACGTTGGAGAGTAGTGAGGGCTGGTAGGAGAATAGCTCGGGCTTTGCGCTCCAAATGCATTCGGACTAGTTGGAGAGTAGCCCGGCGACATAGCTCCCCCGTAACGCGGTGTAGCTCCTGATGGCGACATGCCTCCCAGAGGATCAGCGGGAGACGTCGGTGACCATCCTCCCTCTCTGAAATAAGTATTTTTCAGAAACGACTCTAAAATCGACTTCAATGAAACATGTTGACTTGCACTTACCCTCCGTATCCAGGAGACATTCCGGTCTCTGAGTGTCCTGATGGGGAGAAACCAGCAGCACCCGGAGTCATACCGCTTCCAATAGGAGACCAACCTGCTCCGTATCCAGGAGTCATACCACCATTCCATGGAGTAGACACAGGAGACATCGAAGAGCTGCAGTAATCCTTCTTCATCCCAGTACAAGTCTCAAAAACACTTCGGATGCGTTTTCCTTACCTAGCAGGACTGTGTGCTGCACCAAATTGTCCCAGACCGCCATACATACCCATCATAGTGGATACCTAAAAAGAGAGTCGATTATCAACCTCAGAAAAGACAAAAGCCATTATTTTTGGCGATGTTTCGACGACTTTAACGGCCAATTCTCAATTTCGATTTGCCGCTGACATATAGAAAGATTATCCATAATGAGCAAACGTTCAGAAGCTATAACCTAACCGAAAACCAAAAGATTTTAGCAAAATGAATTGGGCGAGGTGGTGTAGTAACAAATATCGCACACTGTCGCACACATGGCTCAGGGATCGAATCCTGGTTCGATAAAGGCTCAGGCCGATCGCCCTTAAAGCTTAAGGGGCCAGTAAACGGGACTGTTTGGCACGATGATGGCACTAACGTATACATACATCGGCGGGAACAGCATACGACACGCAAATGGAGCCTACTACGATTTCAAAAGGAAGTCGTATAGTGATGCTCATCCCGAATACACGATTGATCAACACCGAAAAATTTAGGCTTTATGCACTGATGGGCCTTCTGGTTGCAATATTTTCACACAATTGCAACAATAAGAACAGATTTACACGCGCCAAAGGAAGGAATCACCGATAATGAATAATTCCTTTGAGGTCTTTAGCAGAAGCAATAGGATTTGGCACAATCAATAACGCCTAGAATGCGCTATGCTAAGTGCTCTTTGAGTTCATCTTCGAATACTAATTGACTTATCATGAAACGATGGTAAAGAATATGTATTAAGACACTGAATTTAAAGGAAGATAGCATCTTTGATTTCAACACTCATGCTGAGACAGATTAAATATTTAGGCTCAATCAGATAGAGTGAAATTTTGAAACACTCGATGACGGTGAGAAAGCTTACTTCAATTCCATATTTACATTTTTCCGCATCCAAAACCAAATCGAATGCACCAGTTCCAGCTTTTGCAAGCTGTCCTAGCATAATATTTTCGGAAACACCTAAAAGTTAACATTTGGAGTAGACCCAACGACGAAAAAACACAACCGACATAAACCCACGGAATAACACACACCTTTGACAGGATCCGTTTCGGCATGCACAGCTGCTTCCATTAGGATGTCAACAGTTTCTTCAAAGGAGCAACGCATCAAAGCACCCACTTCTTGTCGGTTAATTCCATGACGGGTGATAGCCATTAAATGACCTACACGAAAAGGGCAGTCACTTTGAATGTGAGAAAAAACTTTGTATAACTATTACCCTTAGCCGTCATTACGTCACACAGAAGGGCCAAGTGACGATAGTTCACATAAGACCCGTCGAAGGAGATGACATTGTTCATTTCACGCTCAATTGCTTTACGTACTGCTTCTATTCCCAACACCTGAACAAATTTCGCACAATAAATTTCTGCTATCTAGATTATTAGGTAAAAAGGTAACCTCAAATATTTCGCAAATATCATTGGAGGTGGTGCGCACTGGATCGATATGCTGCTCTGAGAGTACCTGAAGAGGTAGCGAACAAGATTCAAAACAACTCATAAACGAGCAGCGTACTTATGAAAGCTATCGGTACATACCTTTAGCAGTGCAGTGCCATCAGTTTCGAGGAGCCATTCAGAAATCGCTTTAAACCCTCCTTCAGGAGTGATTACAACGCGTTTCTTATCGTCTGTTGTAGGCTTGTGCATATACACTTTGGAAATTGAACCGATACCCTATATAAGGAAAGTGAGCAGATCATTTTGAAAAATCATCGAGAAAGGCGTTTCGATCACGAACACTCAAAGAGCTTTAGATAAACGAACCTGCAAAGTAAGATCAGACAACATATTTGACTCAATGCAACGCAGGAATACGTCGTCCTCCATCTTATCGACCTGCTCAACCTGAAGAGGAATCGCATGGCTGAAGCATAAAATCCATGACCAGTCTCAATACCTCTGCAGACTTATCGGATGGCTGATTAGTGATTCGAAGCCGGAAAACAAGTTTGTCAGCGTTGTCGTCAGTGTAGATCACATTGAGATCATCTCCGAAGCCTTGTTGAATTTTGTCTGCTATATGTTCCATACTTAACTTCTTATCCGTCATCCTAGAAAAAAGGATAGCAGATTTGATAGAGTCTATAGACAACTCGTACGCGACACAGACTTCCCTCGCAGAAGACTACATTTCTGCTTCCGAATGTGCACTCTTATTTCATAACAAACTTTCAGTAAGAGACAACCGATTCAAAAGAACATAAACAAACTTAAAACAGCCACATAGTACAGTACAAAAATCGAAATAGAAACCTCTTGCGGTCAAGTTCAAGACGGAGAACCCAAGGAGAAGCCCGACTCGGATCGAAGTCTGCCATCTCGTAGAATATGCTGACCCACTCCTCGTCTTCTTCGATACAGGTGTTTTTGGGATCAGGGTCGTAGTAAATTGCGGTGTTAGACACAACCTAGAATTGAAATTAAAATTAGCTGTAGCGCGGAGCATCATTAAACATGACACACCTTTTTCAACGTCGTGTGTTCCAATTTGCAAAGAACGTCTTTTGCTTTTTCTGCATCTTTAGCCGCAGCTCCTTGAAGGAAAACCGTCAGTGAAGGAGTTTTGAGCTGTTTCGATACATTGATAATTTCCTTCAAACGTGGCACACCAAGTGTTACGTTCTGCAATGAAAGAACAATGACAGATGAAAACCGAGTAAAAAAGTAATAACAGCAGAGAGATTCTGGTGTATTCTGACCTTTGCGGACACACCAGCATAATGGAATGTGTTCAAAGTCATTTGGGTAGCCGGCTCTCCAAGAGATTGAGCTGCTAGAGCGCCAACCATTTCACCAGGTTGAGCAATAGCTTGTTGGAATCGAGTTTCAATTTCTCCTATAAAGGTAACATTTCTATAGATGGCGAATAATGCATTTTAGGTAAACGAAAATCACACCAATCAACCAGTCGAATGCTTCCATATTTAATTTATGCGTTGATGCCATTTTCTTTGAACACAAGGTTGATCGAATCAGAATATTCATCAAAAGGGTAGCATTATATTGCGCCTAGAACATGACAAATTTTCCCACCTCCGTGAGGGGTCTCGGCAACCGTTGGAGGATATAGTTATACTCTTTCATACCTGTTTCGAGATTTTATCCTCTCCTGAGACGATTACCAGTTTTTTCGAAAGCTTCCTGACCCCTTCAATAACGTGCAAAGGGCTGAGACTTGTTACTTTGCTGTAAATAAGAAAGAGCAAAGTGGGAGTAAAAACAGAAAGAAAAAAAGAAAGAACAGAAAAAAGAAATAAAAAACAGCAAAGAAACAAACACGAATTAAAACCAAGCATGCGGAATAACGAACCGGGTTTCAACGTGGAAAATCTTTTGGGCATTCCAGATCAACCGCTGGAGATTACATGGAAGCACGATCTTTGCATCACCAGTTGGAAATATCTTCCGAAGTAATCGACGATCCTCTTCCAGCTGTTGAAATTCAGCTTCCAGCTGGAACAAAACATTATTACGAGTGTTCATGACAAAATGAGCGCAGACATGAAGCAACCTCTTTCGTGGCTTCTGGCGAAGCTTGCAACTCGCGCACAAGATCCTCAGTATAATATTTCCGCAAGGATTTCTCATCCGATAGATCATTCTGAAACGAAAATAGCTATTTTTGTAAGGACACCTTTGTACACTTGCTAAAGAGGTAAAAAATAGGTTTTGCATCTGAAATTATTAGAAATATCACCTTGAAATCTCTTTCGAACAGCATGTTTGTGGGCTTCATAGTGGGCATATTCTGATTTTCTACCCACATTCCATCAAGGCCATCTTCACCATATCTCAGTTGTATCATTTGGGCAAGAGAGTTTCGAACCTGAACAGAAGTTTGAAGAAAAATTCATAAGTACCTAAGTTACGAACAACAGCTTACTGTGCCATCGTAGTTGACCATAACACTCTCCATAGCTTTGATCAGTCGTCGCTGAATATATCCGGTTTCAGCTGTCTTCACTGCGGTATCGATAAGACCTTCACGACCTCCCATAGCATGGAAGAAGAACTCGGCTGGTGTTAAACCAGCAAGATAGGAGTTCTCAACAAACCTAAATAAATCACATACTGGATCCATAGGCTGATGCTATAATTATGACAAAGTACCCTTTAGATTCGGGGCCGTAGTCATCTTTGATGAAATGAGGTAATGTCCGATGACGGAATCCAAACGGAATTCGTTTGCCTTCCACATTTTGCTGGCCCACACAAGCAATGACCTGGAATCACAATGCTGATTTGTGCGAAATAATCTAGAATCAATTACAGGTGAGATTTAGAGACCTTTAACATAAACGCCGTGCTATGGAAGCATGAGAAATTAGTGGTAGTCTTATAGTATGGCTTTGTTAGCTCTTGAGATGAACAATATCTCAAACCGTGGGAAAAATAAATGCTCTTTTTATTAAACACAATGCGACCACACTCACTTGAGAAATATTAATTTTTGATCCTTTGGAGCCGGAAACTACCATAGATTTGAAGTTGTTAAACTCTGAAGCCATGATGCATTGCAAAGGTTGATTTGGAAAGTAGTGATTGAGTGGAACTAACCGGAAAGTGACTTCTGGGCAGAACTTCCTGTTCGGTCACGAGCGTCGTTAAGAATTCTATTCACTTTGTTTTCGAATGTCTGACGCAAAGTATTACCAGGTGTAGGTTCCAAGTCATCATTGTGGGCTCTTAACATTGCAATTCAGATAAGACCTTGAGTGCCCATTTGATTAGAAGAAAGGGACATACTTTTCAATAACATCTATCACATCAAGCTTCGCTTTTCTGATTGTGTCTTGAATATCACGATATGTAGCTTGATCGGCAATAGTGTCACCTATAATTATATGTAATGCTTTAAGCCGTCTGGAGGGAGTGCAAAACAACAAATTGCACCTATTCCGATAGTGTGACCTTCTCCAATAAGCCAGGCATTAACTACCATCTGGATGTGCGAATAAAATTTTGCCGCAACCTTAGAAAAAGAAGATGAATAAGATTTTAAGGCACCCAAACGTGGAATGCTTATCACTACAAACCTCGTGACCCAGTTCTAATGCAACCACGTGCAGAAGATTACCAGCAGATCGACCAACTGTTCTCGAACAGACAATACCAGAAATGAGCTCTCCGTGTTCAACAAGCACCTATGAGACAATAAGAATGACAGCACTACTGTTTACAGTGTTGAAATCAAAAGAACATATTCGGAGTAGCTCTTACTTTGGTATCACCTGGAGAAATCCATTTGTAGGGACCACTGTCTTCGTCATCAGGATGAGTACTATGCGTTCTCAGCACATTCACATTTCCCGGAATGATGAGCGAGAAGAGCTGTTTGCCCGTCCAAAGCGGTTTCGGCTTCATGATCGCCGGTTGTGGAACTTTACCCTCCCACGATGGTAGATACATCAAAAGATCCATCATTCTAGGCTGAAAACACGCAAATTATTCAGATGGCTGAATTGGAGTACTCACAACATCGAACTCACATAGTCAATGTAAACATCCCTTTTGGTCATCATTCGAACAGCACATAAAGTGTCTTGTACAATACCCATGACAGGTTTGTTGGCCTGGGGAGTGATTAGTTGCCTTCAACACAAAATTTACGTCACGATAAAATATGAACACAAATAATACCAATCATTTTGTATCGCACCTTGGTACCATTGCGATCTCTTCAATTTCGGCTCTTGTCTCCAAAGACTGCGGAAGATGCAAGTTCATCTCATCCCCATCAAAATCAGCGTTGTATGGTGTTGTCACAGAAAGATTCATACGGAATGTAGACCACGGGAGAATCTGTACTCAAAGAGGTTGTTTTTTGCAAGCTCTTTGGATTTTGCAGTCTTCCTGCTTACTTTCACTCTGTGCCCCATCATAGACATTTTGTGCAGAGTGGGTTGCCGATTGAAAACAATAATATCACCATCTCTCATGTGCCGCTCTACCCTGGAAAAATTTTATGACTTTCGCCCTGGTAGAAATAACAGAACTGAATAATACCTGTAGCCTGGTTGGAGATGAAGGTCTGCTGCCCTAGGGTGATACCTCAGATCAACACGAGCTCCGTTCTCTCGTATTATATATTTTGCACCGGGGTATTGCGAATCTCCTCTATTCACGAGTTCTTGAAGCCTGAAACAGGAAAATTTTCGAATCACAACGCCAGCATTAAGTTGTGAAATAGCTCACTTGTCAATGTTGAACGGAGTTACTATTTCTGGAAACGTCAAATTCTGCGCAATTGTTCTAGGCACCCCAACGGTGTCAATCGGCAGGTTAGGATCAGCAGTAATGACGGTTCGGGCGGAGAAATCGACACGTTTACCTGAACGACCATCATGCTTACATTCAAAGTCATATCATTGTTGTTCTTCGCCCTCATTATGTGGGTTGTGGGTAAAAAAAATGGTGTTAAAATTTGGCAGAATTGGTTATAACCTCGGACCTTGCGCAGCTTCCTACTATATATAACGCGTTAAGTGTGTCTGTTGGTTTGTCTGTCTGTGTGTGTGTGTGTGTGTTTGACCGGAAATTCATAACTGCGGTTCCCATGGACCTAAAGCGCTCAAACTTGGTAGGAGGACAGGCAGCAGGATAGGAACACTTATGGTGGATAGCTGAGCCGGACACCACCCGCAGGAGGCGGGGATCGTGCGGAAAATTATAACTCCAGTCCCCGTGGACCTAGAGCGTCCAAATTTGGTAGGTGTACCCTAGATAGGATGGGAACTCCTATAATTGTTGGCAGGATTAGGCTCCGCCTACAATGGGCGGAGTTTGGGCAAAAATTCATAACTTCTGTCCCTGTGGACCTAGAAAGTTCAAGTTTGGTACGAGCACAGGCGGCAGGATGGGAACATTTATGGTGGGTGGCAGGACCGGACTCCGCCCGCAAGGGGCGGAGTTTATGTGGATAATTTTAATTTGGACCGAGAGCGCTTA